CCACCGTTGGCGCGTGAGCTGAGTGTGCGGTGGTGAATTAAAAAAAAAAACGTTTTTGGTGTGCAGGTTTTTGTGGCGTGTCACAGCGTGCTGCAGCTGTCGCAGCTCCTGGTGTCGGGCTATATGAAGAGTTCCATCTCCACCATCGAGCGGCGCTACGGTCTCTCCAGTCAGAAGTCGGGGCTGCTGGCCGCCTTCAACGAGGTCGGCGCAACCATTTGGTCGTTCTCCTCTTTGGCCGAGAAAAGGTTTGCAGGACAGCGAGGCCTGACGGCGGCCGGCCCGGGGTGGGCGTGTCTTCCAGGTGGGCAACACGCTGCTGATTGTCTTCGTCAGCTTCCTGGGGAGTCACGTTCACCGCCCTCGCGCCATCGGCTGCGGCGCTCTGTTGGCCTGTTTGGCGTCGCTGCTCATGGCGCTGCCGCACTTCGTGAGCGGGCCATACCGCTACGGCGAGCGGCGCTACCATCGCGCCGGACGTGAGTCCCTAGCCTCTCGGCGCCGTTCGCGTTCCAGGCGTAGACGGCGTGAGTACTCGAGTACCGCCTCTCGTGTTTTCCACGCAGCCGCCTGGAACGGCTCCGGTTTGTGCCACTTGGAGAACATTCCGGCAGAGGCGCCGTCGTCCAATCGGAGCTGCGGCGAACAGGAAAGCTTCGCCCACGAGGGCATCTACTACCTGCTGCTATTTGGTCAGCTGCTGCTGGGCGTGGCCTCCGTGCCCATGCAGCCTTTCGGCATCTCCTACATCGACGACCACGCCAGCAGGAAGAACTCGCCGCTCTACCTCGGTTTGCCGCCGCCGCCATCACTGATCGGGTCGCGGTTCGTGCGCCGGCGTTACGTTCATGATGGTTCGACGCTTGTTTCAGGCATCCTACTGGCCGTCACCGCCATCGGCCCCGCCTTTGGCTTCCTGGGCGGCGCCTTCCTGCTGCGATTCTACGTGGACTTGGACAAGATCGCTGCAGGTCTGCATTTTTTTTTATCCGCCTTCGACGCTACACCGTACGCTCCGTATGTACCGTGTTTGTGTGTGTTTGTGTCAGATGAGGTGGAGCTGGATCGCGGCGACCTGCGCTGGGTGGGCGCCTGGTGGCTGGGCTTCCTGGTGGCGTCGTGCCTTCTCTTCG